AGAAATTATACTTAAATGAAACTTTCCAATATACTGTGGAACTTTTTCTCCTTCTTTTACCTAGTTTTACTTGAGGTCTTCTAAGCAGTAATATGTAGAAATGCAAAACTTAATCAGCTAAAAAATATAGCAAATCCCACATATCACTTTATGCAATGCCAGGAGAGTAGAAATATATTTTCCTAACCAGGGGAAATTAACTAGGCAACAGTCCTATATCTATAATTTAGAGCAGTAAAATATGTATGGCAGAAACTAAAGCCACCTTTAAAGAATTCACTGTAGCAGTGTATCACAAATTAATGAAATGGAGACATTTTTAGAGCATGCAGCACTGAAGATATTAAAGGGGGGGAAAATATTTCACCACATAGATCAGTCTGGTAAATACTTTTACAATCAAGCTTTCTTCCCCGTTTGAAAGTGTAGAAGTTGAATAGTAGGGTGAAACACACACAAAGACATTACCATTTCTGATCAAATCTCAAAGCCACTCCGGACAGATTTGGAATAGCTTACTCTGTCATTGCGAGTAAACCTTTAATGTGGTCAGAGCAAAATCCGAATAAATCAAGAGGAAGGAATTATGGAGTCAGCTCTTACCTTATTTCTCCTAAGATGCAACGGAAAGAAACTTCAAGTACTTTACATTCCACGCTGCAGCCGAGCCAGGCACCATGGAATATTCAACTACCCCAGGTTTTTTAAATGCAATCAATTTACTGCTGCCAAATGTAGTAGGTTTATACACATCTGGGAAACATGCACCTACAGTGCTGATGAATTTCTCCTGACATTGCACTGATTTCAAGAGAATGTTATTTTAAATTGGCAGTAGAGAGACTGGTAGGGAAGGATAAAGCCCTGAGGATGGCTGAATCAAAGAGAATTTCAAAAGAATTTTCCTGATGGTTCTTGGATAATATCGCATGTTAGCTATTTTCAAAGCCAATAGTTTCCAACACACTTCCATTTATGGTATCAATAATTAAAAAATACTTCAGTGGGAGACGAACTTACCTTACAGAGAAGAGAAACTGATAAGCTATATTATTATCATTAATACAGGAGATGCAAAAAGCTTTGTCTCCATGGAAAAGCTGTGGAAACAGGGATATCTTATTTGCAACTATTGAGTGGTTACCACAAAATGGGAGGCGACTGCATGTGGTGCTACTAGAACACGATCACGTGGTAATTAAGGACAGATCCTCAGCTGTTTTGTGCTGCAAAGCCAGACTAAACCACCTGAAGATTTGGTCCGAAATCTCAAGACTACTAGAAGCAGCATGGCGGAAACGTTTTGGATCAAATTCAGAGGTAAAACTAAGTTTAAAGAAAATTCAAATTACCAAAACTTAAATCTCATTATGTCCCACTCCCTGCCAGCACGTCCCTGCCAGCTACTAATGAATTTTTAACATCTTTCCCCTACCCCACTGCACACATCAGCTCTGACTCTGGCACCCTGAACCGCGCGGCACGTTCGAGTCTAATTGTAACTCACATGTCAAGGGGCAAGAAGAAAGGAATACGGCAAGAGCATTGATAAATTTAACTTAACATTCCTCCAGCTACTCGGCAGCACGGCAGAACAGTGAACTCCCTTCCCCATTTTACATGGGTGTCAGCTACTTCAAAGGAATATATTTGAGCATGAGGGAGTCTGGCTTGCTCCCAGCTTATGCATCATTTGTGTCTGGCGGTTTCTGGAGACCCGCAGCAAAGGAAAGGCTTCCTCCAATTTCCGACGTGCCGGGGAACTTTCCGTAGCCGCTTTCTTAGGAGCGCTGAAACAGGTCAGCTGGGCATGCTGCGTCTCACCCTCTGTGTTGCTTCTGTTCTTTTTTCGCCCAACAGAATGCCCTCCGTTCAGTCCAGGTTAGACATTAATGATCTAGACCTGTTCAGTTTAACATACAAATGGGCTTTTAAATCAAATCACCTGAAGCCTATACAAGTTGCTTTCCACCATGCCCAGGACAGGAGCTCCTTGCCACCCCCACCCCCCAGCCTGTGTGGTCAAGGGCTGAGCACCAACATCTCAACACACCTGCTTGCTGCACCTGCGCAGGGCACTGCACGCACTGCGCCTTGCTTGGAAGCCGTCCGGAGCAAGGCAGGAGGCAGTGGTGGGTCACCATTGGGGTGTGGGCTCAGCACAGCGCGGGGACGGAGGGGATCCATGCCAGGAAGAATGAGTTCTGCTTACTACCTGCTACTGAAGCTCTGGGGGACCATGTTACAACCAGGACCCCCGGAAACGGCGTGTCTGCCATGAGCGTTAAGATTTCTGGGATTCACAAACTCTTATTTATACGTTTAAGTCACTCGTGTCTCAATGCCCCTTTTATTGACATTAACGGCATTATTTTACCCTGCAATAAATCTCATTAAATGGCTGATCAGTTTTTGGAAAATTACTCATTAGCGGCATCTGGAGAAGAACTGTCATTATACCTGCAAAGGATCACCAAACAGTTCTCGGCTAAACGTACATGAACTGGTTTGGGAAAATTCACAAAAGAAAGACGATGCTCTCTCATGACAGATGTGCATTTCGCAAGAGTCACCTTTGCTTTTGAAGTCGTTCTGTCTGTTCTCACAATTAAGAAATAAGGCTTTCGTGGCTGAGACTGCTTGTCAGATGCCGAGGACTCTCATGCTGTAAGGCTGACTGAGCTTCCTCACAGACATGGGTTACCTGCCTACGGCGAGGTGGAGCACACGAGCAAGTCCCTGAAGATCCACAGCTACAAACACAGAGCCCAGCTCCTAATTTGAATCACAGAATTAAGGGAATACCATGATTACGGTTAATCTCAGCAGTCATAAACGATATCACAGCTTTGTAAAAGCAGACTGTTGATGATAGATCTTAGAGAGAGAACTCAGACAATGAAATATTAAAAGGTTGCAATCTCTGAAGACAGATAAAAGCCTTAAGGCTATGTTTTTTTTTGAATTTGTATGACCAGAACTAAACTCTCTAATCCACAGATTGAGATTTTCCAATCCTACTAGGAATTATGTGCCTAACTCTGTTAGCCTCTTTCAAAAATCTCAGCTTTAGGCTCTTAAGTAAGTTTAGCCTTATCCAGCATTGGTGTCCTTTGGAAAATGCCTTTACTGAAAATAAAACTGTAGGCACTCGATTATATAATCTTGGCCAAAAATTCTACATTTTTTCCTACATAACCAATTATTGTAGATTTCTGGCTATATATAAGCAGGAAAAAAATATATTTCAGAAAAAAGGCATGATATGGAAAGGTTCCCCCCACACACACCTTTTAATGCAGTATGTGTACCTACACTGTTATTGGAAGCTTTTTAATTATTTGGCTCTTTTGATCCATCCCACTAATTGCTGCGTTGCTTTAGTGGATTGCTGTATTAAACTGAAAGGTCTGAAGCGATCACATCTATGCACAAACGCAACTTAGTCAACCCTTTCATTGCTCCAGTGAATACCAACCACATCAGAAATTACAATGAGGGAAGTATCATAAAATTATTTTACAAAAATGTGTCATATTTAGTTATTCTGTTGCCCAGCCCTCCTTTTCTCTTATTAAAAAAGAAGTCTGTGGACTTTGGTACCCTTATCCAAGATCTGAACGTTTATTATGATTAAGACCTTCACAGCCCTCCTTTTCTTTTTTCCTGTACAATAGGGAAAGTTTAAGATACAAAAAATGAAAAATGTGCCACGTTTGCCCTTGAAGTTAGAGTTAGAATAGTGACAATGGCTGTATCACACTGTATTGTTGCTTTTATCAGCAAGTGCCCTGAGCATATATTAACATAATTGCAAACTGCATGAAAAGTGAACACGCAAAAATGTGATGCAATTGCCAATAGCCTCAAACATCTGTCCCAACAAAGTGTTCCTCCTCCTTATTTTAATTCTTATTATTTTAACAAGGTTAGTGAAGGAGAAACCATGTCACAGATGATATCTACATTTAGAGTGTCAGAACAATTATTGATGCAAAATTGTTATCCAAGCAAATATGTGTCACATTTTTGTTCACTTCCCATAACACCTGTTCATTTCGCTAACATATTATTCCTGCTTAAAGCCAGAACTCATTAGTCCCAGTTAAAGCCAAACTGAAAGCTTAATATGTACATAGAGCTGAAAAACTGAAAAAGTCAACCAAAAGGTAGCACCATTCAGCACAGTGAACGTCTGAAGCTGGTGAGCAACAAACTTGTGCAACAGTGAAAATAAGTAAAAAGAAATATATGAAATAAACGAATCAATGAAATGAATGAAAAAATAAAAATAAAAAGAAACTGAGCCAGAAACCAAACAGCAATAAATTAAAAGCCACTCAGCCTTAGGAACTGAGATCAAAGAGAAGCACTATTCAAACGATCTGCATTTCAGGTGCAGTACTGAGACCTTTGCAACTTGCTATACCAAAGACTCCAACGCTCTCACAACCAGTGACTAGAAACTCCGTATAACACATTTTGGTTTATCTCCTCAATAGACAAATAACAAAGGTGAAGATTGTTTAAAGCAATTTACTTTCACCTAAATTTTTTCCAGCTCTCTTTGAGGTTCTCCAGCACTCAACCTGTACATCTCGACTCCCACCACGCGCGCTGTGTGACACCCCTGCCTTGCTCCCCCAGCTGTTTAGGTTTGGCACTGAAGAGAGTCAAACTTACATTTCTGTGATATTTGAACACACATTGTGAATTCTAGGGCATCTGCCCTGCAGACATACTGCTAACTGTAACCCCAGGAGGCTTAAAGAAATATCAGCACTCAAATTCAGAGAGTAAAGGTCTGAAGAGGCAGTTCTGTGAACGGATAACTGCCCGGGGCTTTGCCGAGCACAATATAGCTGTCACTTGTTATTACGTGAAAGATTTTCTGGGGAACAGTGTTCTTCATTTTGCATGTCAGAGACAGGAAAAAAACACATTTAGACAACCATCTCTTTAAGAAAAGAGAAGAGAGCCATGCAGCAGAGCTCACTTACCGGGGCTGGTTATTGTCAGGAGGTCAAGCTGCCGTTTCTGCTGAAAAACAAATTATAAAAGAATTGTTAAAAGGAGACTAATTTTAGTGGGTCAGCTTAGACCTGCAAAGTAAGTGTTCTGACATCTATTGCAGAATTAATTACCAGTTACATGGCTCTCAGTAACTCTTTTGGATGGGATCCACATATACTTTATGAGGGAAAAAAAAATCTAGCTCAATCCTTTCAGTGTGTTTTTATTCGCAATTATAAAGTGTTCCTATTTTCTTCTTGGAGCATACACTTGAAATGGATAGCTAGAAGCACGGATGGACGGGATATTTATAAAAGTAATTTCTGATTCCACAGGGAAGGAGACAACGAACCGAGACAAGAAACTCCAAGTTCTTTATTCATATCAATCACTGACTCATAGTCTGTATGTGATCAAACACAATGATATTGCCTTGGGGTGAACCTTTCAAAGCTATGTAAGGGGATCTAGACAAAGTCAAGACTGATAAAAGGAAACTACTTTTCATGCCGAGCGCAGTTAGCCCATGGTACTCTGCCATCAGATACCCCTCGTGCCAAAAGCTCGCTAGACCAACACTGGGTATTTGTATAGATAACAAAAAACAGGGAGTCTTAACGGCAAATATTAAGTTTAAGCCTGCTTAAGAGTGGTTTCTGGAAGGGCTATAAATCTTCCCAAAAGTAAGCCAAACTATAGTTAGAGGAGGTTAGGACAATTTTTTTGCCTGGAAGCAAGTTATCCCACCAACACCTTGGCAGTAGAGGGCTGTGAGGTTCAGTTCCCCCTGTAATATTGCCTACTACATGTTCCCAGCCTGGGTAGTCCTGCCCCACCTTTATCCCTCAGTGGCTTGCCACTGAAATCCATGTGTTCCTTGACCATTACCATTCTTTTCAGCCCTTCTGTAGGCCACAGGAACTTTCCACCACCAACAGGGTTTCTCCAGCTCGCACACACACTGATACTACCTACTCTTCCATGCGCTTTCTAACTACTGTCTTCTCCCTAAAACTCTCTTTGCCCAACATTAGTGTGTCTAGCCGGCACTGCAGATTATACTGTCTACTTTAATTTCTCTCTCCTAATCTGCTCAATAACGTCTGTGTTACTTTCATTTATTGTCAGCCCTATTGATCTTTTTCTAATCTAATTCTCATCATTGCATTCACTGTATTCCCTGGGTGACAGCTGAAAGTCCTTGAGGAGGAAACATTGACTTGCTATTCCCTACAGTGAACGCTC